GAGACTTCCGGTGGCAGGCGACCTCGTCGGATGCAGCTGTAGCTGCCTCCCGCCTGTTTCTGCGTAAAAGCCGTTTTGACAGCTAGCATCAGCTGTCAAACGGCTTGATACCTTTCCCCTGGGCAGAGGGGGATAGGTGAGCTACCTGGGGTAGGAGTTGAGTTCCCGAGTCGTCCCTTGTGGACGATGTAGGTGAGAACTCCTCCGGAGCCCCGGGCTTCTCAGCGATCCAGGACGCCTTCGCGTTAGCGAAGCTAGAAGCCGCCGCCACCGCTGCAACTTAAAGAGAACTGTGAGTTTTTTCCTGTAAGCAGACGAACCGACCCTGGAAGTTTGCTTTTTATCTTGGACTTTACTCTAACTTGGATAATAAGTTCTTCCTTGTACTTGAGGTGGATTGAGGGAAAGTGAACTTAAAATGGCGATGGATTGATACTTTTCAGCAAGAAGTGAAAGTGATTTCCGGTTCGGAACTTTCACTATTTTTAACTGGTGGATTATCTGCGTTGTTTGAATTGCTTATAAGACTTTTTAACAACTTGAACTTTATTGCAAATATGGCTTCGAAGAAAACTGTGCCTTCAACTGTAAAATATACTACATCTCCGATGTCTCAGACATCCCAGCCAACTTCAAAAACTTCCCATCCGCCACACCCTCCATCTTCTTCGTCTCCACCGTCTTCTGGCAGAGAGCTGCAGGATATGATGTCTGCAACTATTAAACAAATGACTGAGATGTTTCAAGCGATGGATGTCAAAATGCAAAGTAGATTTGATCAATTATCACAACAATTGGATTTATCACAACAACAGTAAGATTTATCACAGAAACATGAGGATTTTTGTGTGAGTGTGGCAACTGCTTTTAAAGGCTTGGCTGATTACGTAGACGCGGTGGCAGAAAGGGTGGAGGAGAATGAGCAAAGAGCGGAAGCAAGTGACCATAGACTTGAACTTGTAGAGGAGAGTTTGGAAAATGTTAAAGGTGATGTGTTGATTGCTCAATTTCGTGATATGGAGTTTGCAATTCGGATCCGTGGGTTGGCTGAGGACCCAAAGGAGAATTTAAGACAAGTAATTGCGGATGCACTTGGGGATGCCTTGTCTTGTGGTCAGGAAATTTACTTGGAAATAGAGCGTGTTTTTAGGGTGAACTCGTGGATTGCTCGACAAAAGAATTTGCCTAGAGATATAGTGGTCTACCTTACAAGAAAGTCGAGACATAATGAAATAATGCAGCTCTTTTACCAACAGAGATTTAAGATTTTAAATCAAGACGTTATTCTTTTAAAAGAAATTCCAGCGAAAATACTTAGAGCGCGCAGAGACTATGCTTTTTTGGCGCAGGAGCTTAAGATTAGACAAATAAATTTTAGATGGGACATACCGGTGGGCATAATTGTAACAATAGCTGGCAAACATTACAGACTTAACTCGATTAAGAAAGCTAAGGACTTTATGGTGTCTGTTTTACAATTAGAATGCCCACCTACACCCCAGAGAATTGAAGTGGCTGAGCAAATGATCGTGGAACTCCCCTCTGCCTCCGTTCAGGACGTAGAGGGGAGCCCAAAAGCTGATGGAAAGGAACAAAGGATTACGCGCGCAGCCTATAGACGCAAGGAAAAGGAAAGACAGTTGACAGCCCGTCCGACAGCTGATAGTCCTGCAGCTGATTGTCAGTTACTGGCTATTTCGGAACCAGTAGGTGGCGCTCGACCTAAGGTTTTTGTGAAGTCCTATGCAGCAAGTATTGTCAGTGGATTGAAACATCCCAATGTGTAAGCTTATATCTTGGAATGTTGGTGGACTTAATGCTCCCCATAAAAGACGTAAGATTTTTCATTATCTAAGACATTTCAACAATGATATTACATGTTTACAAGAGACTCATATTGTGGCTAAAGATCAAAAATTATTATTGAACTCTAAGCTTGGAGATTTGTTTGCTGCATATGCTTTAAAAAAGAGAGCTGGGGTGGCAATATATATCAAAAGACATTTTTCACCTGTTCTAAAATAAGTTGATAAAGAAGGAAGATATTTATTTGTGGAAATAAACTTAAATGGAAGAAAGTGTTTAGTAATAGGGGTTTATGCCCCTAATCAACTTGTAGCTCAAAAACAATTTTACAGACAACTACATCAGAAAGTTGTGGCGATGGACTATAATTGGAAAATAAAATATTATTAAAAAATTTTTTTATAAAGTTTGCCACAATCTGAGAATACTAGCTTTACAGTCTCATCAGTTTATAGATATACACACACATGCTAATTTGTGTGTGCATGTGTGTGTGTGCGTGTGCACACATTTGGGGAAAGAAAACACATAATACAGGTAGTATTATTTATAGAAAACTATTTCTTGCCTCATTTAAGGAGCTGAGTGCACATTTGCACAAAATGTGTTCTACTTCCATTCTGAGAATTACAGCTTTTTCAGTGATTAGTGATACAGCAAGGGATTTATCCATCTATCCATTCGTCTTCATATAAATAATTAAGATAACAATCTTACCTATATGGTTTAGTAAAGCAAAACATTGAAAAATATTCTCAAAATCAAAAACATTACATAAACCTTAATAACAAGTATCATAAACATTCTCAAGAGACTATACAATGAAGTAGTAACAAACAAAGCAAA